GAAACTATCTCAAAAGAGAATAGAGAAGTAGTATAATTACAAAGTTATACGATTTGAACTTACCCCATCTAATACTTTGCATATATGTTTATATATATGTATGTTATTCTACAAAGTGAAAATGTCATAAGTGATTTACGTTAATCGGTGAAAACTCATAACAAAGATTAACAGTTTGTCGTAAGTCATTTTTAATTATCAACAGTTTGCTGTGTATTATAAATTAAGTTTTGTACATATGACGCCGTTTTCTCATGTGTCATTTATTTGAAAAGACATAATTTTTCAGTTTACTTTTTAATGACTATTGTTTTATTCTTAACCAAACAGCAATATTTATATGTTTAACTATCGCGAGTTTATTTTAATTTACTTTCTATTTTTGTAATATTTTATAGATTTTTATGAAATTGCAAAAATTGAATAGAAAAAATTTTCGAAGGAATCGTACAAGAAAAATTTATCTTTCATTAATCCAACTGCAATTTTTTTACCTGCTTTTCTTTTATTAATTATTATATTTTATTAATATTTATCTATTTTGTAAAATATGTTATGTCACCTCTGTGACATGTCTGTCCTTTTTAACATTGGATTTCTTTTTGATATAGCGCAGTAAAATATTTTTTGAAATATCTCTCAATATCTCCACTTAGTATTTGTTTAATAATGTTGATTTTTAATATATATAGTTTTTTCATCACAAGAAAAAAATTCACTCTTTTATTTTCCAATTCAGCGAAAAAAATTTCCTATGAGAAATTCACAAAAAAAAAAAAAAATACGAGACGGTATTCTGTTCATTTATATTTGTGACTTTTCACATTCCTCATATCATTGGAATTCAATGTCCTGAATATAAATTCTAAACGAACAAATTGGACCTATTTTGAAAATTTATTATTTGTAGTTCTTTATTTTAATGATGAAATCAGAAAAAATAAATTTAATTGAAAAAATAGGTTTTGAGAATTTTTGTTCATTTGAACTTTAAGGAATTTTAAAATCTTTATAATTTATTGAAAACTATTTTTAATTAATAATTTTAATAATAAATATAATAATAATAATAATAATAATAATTTATTGATTAATAAAAGAAAAATCAGTCTAAATAAAAAAAAAAAATTGGAAATATTTTGTTGTAGACAAAGTAATTCCATAATTTCCAAGTTTATATTTTAACTCATTGTTTTGAATTATCAAATAATTGTTTTAATGCATTAAATATTTGATGCGTGTACACTTTACAGTTTAAAATCACTTGACTGAGAAATTTAATAATAAAGATACAAATTATTATTATCGTAGAACTAGTGGTTTTCATGCTGAGTCAAGTAAACATTGCTGTAATTAATTCAACGTCTAGAGATAAACGAATTATCTCTTCTGAATTTTCCTAAAATTTTCCCAGAGGCCAAAATTAACCCAACTAGTGATGATGATGATACCTTTGTAAAACGCGAGAGCGCGCACGCTCAACGACTCTAAATGTTTGCTATCGCTTTCAATTGAGAGTTTTACCAACAGATCGTTTTCCCAAAAGCTTATACCTTTATCTAATATTATTACAGCAGGCTTACTCTGCGTTTAAGTTTTGCGTATAAATTATTGCGCGCAAGAATGGGGAGTGGTGCCTTGTGAAGGGTGGGGGGGGGGAGGTGGATTAAAATCTAAATCCCTTTTAAAAGCCTGTGTCTACTGGGAATTTATGCTTTTCGAACATTCTGGGCTTTAATTTGAGAATTAAATTGCAAACTCAATTTTAACATTTTGATCTATTTTGTCGTGTGTGTGATTTTTGAAATTTCTGACGACAAAAGAAAAAAAAATATATAAAACACTCATAGTTAAAAATTACCAAAAAAAAATTACATGGTAATATTATAAAATGATATTTTTTATATTAGAATAAATTTTAAAGAGAGAAGGCTAGACTTTGAAACTTTAAAAATAATGTAATTATTTTCTTTTTGTTAATTAATAAAAAAAAAATCAAAGCCATTAAAATTCAATTTTATTTTATCAAAATAAAATAAATAAAACCGCAGATATTTTTTTTAACGATGTAATAATATACGTTAAAATACTTTTGGTTTTTAATTAAAAAGGAAACAATTTTCACAAAACAATTTTTTAACTGAATGTCTATTTTTTCAAAAAATTATTGAATATATTTTTTAATGAATGTAATTTTCAGAGTGGAAAATAAAAAGACATATTAATTATAGTTTTTGAATTTTTATATTAAAATTCTTTTTTTGTGTCGAGAAAAAATACTTTTTGAAGGAAAATAATATTTTTTTTTAATGAAAATATAAGAAATACATTTTTCGTAACTGTATATAGTTTGTTCAACAGCTTGTCAGCAATAGACAAATTGGAAATTGAATTTTCAAATTGAATTTACAAATTGATAACACAACTATTCCGTCTCCCCTCATGGGAACAAGAGATCATTCGATGAATATTATTTCCCTTCTTATTGGGATAAAAATATCTTGAAGATATTTACCTATATATTTCTCCTTCTCTTTCTTTCTCTGTGTTTCATCGTGTACCGTATCGAATTGATTCTACGCACGAAACGCTTATATAAACTGGCACCGAGTGTTTTTCAAATTGGCTCCTGTCCAGAGACGTTCGCGCTACCATGCGGATTCGGAAATTGAAATTTTCATACAACGTTTGCCATCGTTGTTTCCAATGAAATAAAAGTGTGAATCAGACCAGGTGATAGCGACGGGTTTTCGAGACAAATTTTACGCGGCGGCCACACTTTTGCTCAATTTTTTTTTTTTTTATTTTTTTTTTATTCGCCTCCACCCGTTATCAAACGAAAATTGAAATCTGCTATACTGCTGATACCAGCAAATGTTGAGGAAATTGACCCCGTTTCGATATTATTCTCTATCGCACTTTATTAATATGTAATCCGAAAAGTATGTTTCGCAGTTTATTTCGTTTAAAACTGTGAAAAGTATTTTTGCATTATATTATGAAAAAGAGGGGGAGGGTTTTTTTTTCTTATTGGGGAAATTGTTTTATAATTTGTCACCAAATAAAGGGTACGATTTTTTTCAGAAATTTTGAAATTTTTAATTTTAAGATTTAATTTATAACTATAAAGTTCTTACTTATTTTGTCTTAGTGGTAAAAGTCAGTCTTAGTCAGACGTAAATTTTTGTTATTTTTATATCAGTAGTAAATTACACTATTTTTTTTATTATCAGTAGTGTACTTTTTTTATTTTGTACTTTTTTTATCAGTACCAAAAGCCAGTATTAGTGGGACTATAAATTTTGTATAAATTTTTGTATATTAATAGAAAAAGTCAGTTGTAGTCAAAATTTAATTAAAATGACTTTTAATAAAATACACCCTAGTTTCATTGAAGCATATAAAAAAACAAGAAAAAAAAATAATGTTAAATCATACATAATACGCGAATCGATGACACACAACCTACTTGGAAATAAACTGCCCTGACTTTCATTTACGGAAATAACCCCCGAGAAAAGTCCAGATAAAAAATTGTCTGTGAAAGGAAACATGTGTGGTATTTGTGTGTATCATATATCTCAAAGCTTATAGGAAGTTTACTCTTGTGTCGTATATATCGAGATCTGTTAGTGTTCCAACGTTATTTCTTCTCACTCTCATCTCATATAGGAGACACATATATAGAGGAAGTTGAAGCCCATCTTATGAAACGTATGCTTGTGCCGTTGCGCTATATACACACAGAGTGAAACTCAGCTAATACTGCCGTCAATAACCTTTACACCATCCCTTAAGGTTGTATCCGCCAAAGCTTTAATCGAATTGGCAACGCATACTGCGGTCCTCATTTTTTCTCATTCCCTCACTGTTTTTCTTTTTTTTTTTTTATTTTTTTTTTTGTTCCTATTTACTTTCTTTACATAAAATATTTTATTCCTTCGTGTTCAATCTTGGAAATATTTCTATCTGAAACTACCTTCTTTTTACTACTGATAAGAATATTATTAAAATGTTGCCAATCAGACTAAAATTTTCTTCTTACAGTACCAAATTTAGAGGTATTTTTTTAGCAGTACTAAAACTTTTTACAAAAATCACAAAACAAACATGGCGACTGAATAATCTTAAAAAAAACCTACAAATTGAACCTAAATTGCAGTAGACTAAGAATAATCACTTTTATTCCATTTTTTTGAATAGAATGTTTTCCTGGAAAATGAAAAAATCCCTTTCAAAGTAAAATAAAATTAATCAGCATGTCTCTATTACTTTTTTACCTTAAAACAACACTTAGTACGTTCAAAAAAAACCTACCAAATGCTCTTAAAAAAATTACAACGTCTGACAATAAATGACTTTTACTACTTCTGTATTAAAACTGTAGGAATTTTTATGCTACTAAGAAAATTATTAAATAAAATGTTGCTAGTCTGACTAAAATTGGTTTATACTACTTGTAACAAGAAATGACTGTTACTACTAGTATACCAAATGTATGAATTTGTATCGTTTCGAAAATATTATTTTATTTTATCTGTATGTAACTTTTTTTTACTACATAAAAATTATTTAATTTTTTTTGACTAAAACAAACACACTGAAAGAAAATTTAGTTCCTTTTAAATGTAATGTATTTTGTTTATTGATATAAACACTTACATAATTTATATACAAATTTAAAAAAAATAGATTTCCCTGCATAAAATAGTGTTGTCATAATACAATTTTATACAAATAGATTTTTCCAAATATATTTATCGTCCTAATAATCATATTTCGTTTCGATTATTATTATACAATTATTGTAACTTATACAAATGAATTTTTATAACTTCTTTAATAATAACAATTTTTACAAATATTTTTGTACATTCAATGAAAAAATTTTCACAATATTTATAAATAATATAAAATCGCTTCACATTTTTATCAAAGAGTAAAATAAAATTTAGTTATATTTATTATTTAATTAGATAAATTTAGATGAATTTTTCATTTATAATCTAAAGTAATACATTTTTTGCAGTGTGTATTTTTAATAATTTTTTAATAAATAAAGAAAATTTTAAGAATAAAAAAGATACTGAATATTTCAAATTAAATATATAACAATAAATTGTACAAAAACCAAAATTATCACCGCTTGTACAATATAACAATCGTTACGAAAAATTTTGTAACAAAATAATACCAACCCAAAATTAGGGTAAATAAAATTAATACGCGCCTCTATTACTCTATAGAATGTAAAAATTTTAACTAATTTGAATTAGTGACTCATGTTTTGTTTTACAATTAGCGAAAAATTTACTAATTCGATAGTAAAAAATTTTGTTTACGATTAATAAGTTACAGTAATACCCCGGACTTACGCGATAGGTGGGACCGAGCGAAGACCGTGTAAGTCGAATTCGCGTAAATCGGGGTTTCAGTTTTCATCAATAATTTAGAATTTAGAAGTAATATGTTTGATAAAATATCAAGCAATAAAACTATTTACATTTTTATGAAAAAAAACAACGTAAAAAACAACAATAAATTATTTATTAATTAATTACGAGTTAATTCGTGTGGCCATAAAAAAAACCGCGTATCTCCGAATTCGCGTAAAACGGCATAGCGTAAATCGGGGTTTTACTGTACATAATTACTAGTTACATACATAGTTGTATTTATTTTATTAATTCGATAGTAAACAAATTTTTTTACTCATTTTAACAATTTAAAATCAAAAATTGAGTATAACTATTTCAAATTAGTTAAATTTTTTTTACTAATATTAGAGTAACAGCGGTCTCTCTCTCTCTCTTTCTCTCTATTTAATTAAAATGAAAAACAACTATTACAATAAAAAAAATTTAACACACATAAAAAAATAATCTCTTTTTTCTTTAATCAGTCTCACAAATCTTGTTCCTGGGAAATTTTACAATTTAGGAACTGGGACAATAAAACGACTGTTTTGTCACTCATTCATATATATATATATATATCATATTCTCGCTGTATATCACTCGAGACGTATGTAACTTGATGAAGCCGTCCCTCACACATTACATATATCTCACTGCATATATCATCCCCCAATGGGAATTCACATACGAGAGATAATAATTTAGAATCAACTTTCAACCTTGGAGGCAGTTTCCTCATCGTATTGCACTGACGGTATCATTGGTGGTTTAAATCCATATTCCATTTTTGATTGTCGAAAACTTCCCTTACCAATTGGATGATGATATAATTCTTGTTTAACTTTTCTCAATGTTGTTATTGATGATGGTGATCGTGTTGCAATTGTCGAATGAAAATTTGACGCTTTACTTTGAAATCCATGTGGTTGCATTGGAACTGGACCAATGTAACCATCCATTTCTCCTTTTTCTTTTGTTGTTAGACGTTGTAATGTATGCCTTCGTCGATGACTTGGATTATTATTATTATTATTATAACCCGAATATGATGATTGTTGTATCAATGATGGTTGTGCAGCAAATGTAAAATGTGAAATAAATTGCTTTTTACCTGTGTTCATATTTTTTGTTATAAAATATGGTGTTTTTTGTTCTAAAAATCCAATGAATGGTTTTTGATAAAAAAGTGTTTGATATGGTTGTGTTAAATTGTAAACTTGATTTTTGATTATAGATAAACCATATAGAGGTAGGGAAGTTGCAGTTTGAGTTGAGTACAAGTTGTGGTTTTGAGGCTTCATTATCTGTTGGTAACTGACACCGTATTGCACTCCGTACGGCACATGAATTGGTACAGGCTTTTCTAGGTATTTAGTTACTTCCAATGGTATTTTACGCTCGACAATTTTCTCCATCTCAATTGGATAGGGTAATAATTTTTTTTCACCTGTTATATGTTTTTCAATTATTTTCTCAATAGTAAATGGTTGTGGTAATTTAATAATTTTTGATGATTGACGTTGATAATAATGGGATATTGGTTTATTTTTATCTTGAAAATTTGTATCAGATATTTCGGTTTTTGATTCAGACTGTAGACGTGGTACAGCAATCTGTTGCTGTCCATGATTAATATCGCTAGACGAGGATGAGGGTTTATTGTCATGTGATCGATAAGACTGAAAGGCAGGCTCGTCAACTTGTGATTCGGTACCAATGCGAATCGTATTCAGCATTGGACTGTCCAAATGATCTTTGGATTCAATGGATGCTTTCAAATCACGACTCTCCTGGAGTTTGGGATAAATATGATAATATCTTGGTCTTCCTATTGATTGGAAAATTGGTGCAGCTGCATTTTCATTAATTAGATAGATGTGAGATTTGTCATCTGGATAAATATTTGTTGTATCATCATTATTTTCATATGGTGGTGTATTGGTTGTGATATCGAAACGTTGTTTAGAATTTTGTAAATTCTCGCTATATTTTGGCACTGAATTATCGATGTGAATTACCTGCGAGAACATTTGTGGTGGATAATGTATTTCTTGAATTGGTGCATTGTGATAAATTTCAATGGACTTTTGTATTTCAATACCATCATTTTCTTTTGGGTTTTCTTTTATTTCCTCCTCGTTAAGATCAACTTTTTTCTCAACAATTGGCAAATTATTGTTTGTTGTTCGACTGATAAAATGTTCCTTACCAGCGTTAACTAATGAAACACCGGCTTGAATTGGATTTAGTACAATAGATGATATTGTATCGTAAGGCTTATTTGGAATTATTTCTGATGCTCGTAAAATTGGTGGCATTGGTGTACTGGAAGTGATATTATCTTCACATTCAAATGTCGTACTATATTCAAATGGTTTATGATGTGTAACTTCAGCCACTACAATTGGTTTGGAAAATCCATCATGTGTTTTGGAAATTTTATCATGAAATGTTGAATTTTTGTTTAATCCAAAAGTTTTAAATTGATTCATTTCAGTTGAGAGTAATGCATAATTTATTTGCTGTGGATTTGATAATCCAATATTTGATTCTCTATGTCGGGGATTTTCAGTGCTCGAGGAGTAAACTGTCTTTTGACTAGTTTCAATGGCATTACTGAAAGCGGGTAAGAGGCTTGAGTATTGATCTATTGCTGTTGTCATTATTGGACTGAGAGTAGTTGAGGGAAGAGTATTAAAATGTGGTTCCTCGTGATTTAAATCCATGTGTCCTGAGAAACCAACATTGTACAAATGAACACCGTGAATTTTACGATTTTTCTTTATCATTGGTTTTTGATAATGATTGCGTGCTATTGTTTCTTTTTGTGGTGATGATTTTTTTATTGAATGGGGAGAAATATTTTGTCGGCGTATGTCAACGCCGAGTCTTTGTCCAAAACTTCCGGCATTTTCAACGAACAATTGTTCATCGTTGATTTGAGATAATAAATCGTTCTTGTTGTCCCCGGCAGTAGTAGAAGCAGAATCACTGACATATGAGATGTCGGCAGGCGACATTTGGGCTGCTGTGACGGCACTTTGGACGATCACTGGTAATGTTGTGGAATGGCTGCTGCTGCTGCTTGTGAATCCATCTCCTGAGGGAATTCCATTCGACGAGATTACTTCGAAACTCTGTCGTTGTGGAAGATTTACGTAATTTATGTTACGAGACTCCTCCGAGATGTTTGACTCGAGTAAACTCTCTGGTTTGACATCCCTGTTGTCGCCCAGTATTGACTGATCGTGCTTTACGATTTGCAAAGTTTCGTCTTCTCCTTCCTTATGTAATGTGTATGGCTGAATGATCTGAACTGCTTGAACAGTTTGTCCTTCCTTTACAGTTCCCGATGTACCAATCTAAAAATAATTGTTGATAGTTTTTTTTTCTTTTTCATTTTTTTTTTAGCTTTTATATTTAAAGAATAAAGATTTTTTTCTCCACCTTGCCAGAGAACATTACTTTTTTTTTAAAGTTGTAGTTAGAAAAATACTAAAAGAGCTGCAAAATACTTACGACGTCGTCATCATTCTGTAGTCTCTTGAATGCCTCTTCTCCAATGGCAAGAAGCGCTGCTCCTGCAGTAGTGCTGCTGTGCTCGTTTGAAGACCTATACTTCACGAGCGGCTGGTAACCCAAGTCGTCAGCAAAATATTTGACGTCTGTGGAAAATTGGTCGGGATTATTCATGTTATACCGACCACTAGCCAATTTGTCATATCTTCCTTCGATTTTTCCCTGACTTTTGTCTTCTTCATTTCCAACATCGTAATTGTATTGATAATCCGGTGAATTCTGAAAAATTGACAATAATTATTAATATTATTATTTAACATTACAAATAACAAATAATTTCATAATTTGAAAATGAAAATAAAATGTTTTCGTAAGGTTTTATTACATATAAGTCGGAAATATGAAAATCTATAAAAAGACATTTGTTTTACGAGAATAATATATGAGTTGTGAAAATTTTGTGTTTACGGATAGAAAAGATGCTTTAAGGATATGAGAAAGTGTATCACACACTCGTGTGCGTGAATATAAGTCTCTTTGACATTGCTCTCGTTGCTTTACTCCATATAATTTACAGTGTATGTGTGTTATGTGTTAGCAAATGTAGGAAAATTGAGATCATAGTTCTCATATTACAATTTACATTTTTTAGAGTATATATATAAAGTCTAGAGTACCATGTGATTATATATATATATATATATATATATATATATATATATATACAGACTTGAATAATTCCAAGATTAAAAGAATGAGGAACATATTTATTTTTTAATTATATAAAACTGTTATAATTATTCTATTCACATTTATAATTATTTTCAATTCAGTATATAATTATTTTATTATCATCACCTTTTATAAACGATGTGTTATTATTTGTTACTTTGTAAGAAACATTTTTAAATTGGGTAATTTTCTGATTGAAAAAAAAGTATATTAGTCATCTTATTTCTCAAAAAAAAAAGGATGACTTCTTATAAAAATTTGTGTCAACTATTAATTAAATCGAAAAAACATTTCATTTGAAATATTAAATATTTCGAAACAAAAAAACACGAATATAAATAATTGAAGACGATGAAAGGAAGCCGATAATAATACAATAAATAATAATAATAATAATAATAATAATAACTATTGGTATAAAAGTGTGCATTGATCGATTTACATTTTATTAAAGAGAAAATATGAATTGAATATTGAATAAGATGAGCGTGGGGGGAGAAAAAAAAATATATATATATACGAGATTCAGTTTCAGAGACGTCTCTACAAACAATTGCAATTTTATCGAAATCGGTTTTCTATGGAATATGCTTATCGGAAAATAAACTTCCTAAATCCCATTGTGCTATATCATTGAAAGTCTCCAATGGGAACGCTATTAATGTTCCATGGACTAAGAAGACAGTAAGCCACCGTTAATAATATCTTATAAGTGCACTATTAATCCTCCTTCGGTGTGGCAATAAATCATAAACGTTGCGTCGGTTTCGAGGATCGGGTATGAGAAACTCGATCCCCCTCCATGATTCTCCTCCTGTTCCCGTAATAAACGTCTTGATAATAAAACTTTGTTGAAGTTGCAATAGATAAAAAAAAAGAAAAAAAAAAGTTTAGAGCGTAAATGACGCTTTACGTGTACCGTTTAACAAACAAGTTTTCTCAATCGATCGACCTTTCTGAATGAAAAATAGTTCCGTCTTCCTCATCTGCAAGTGAATCGACTATGTGACCTATATATTATTTTGTATCCGGTGTGTCAATTTTTAATCAATTTTTTTTTTTTTTTTTTTTGAAACCGTGTCAAGTTTATTTATATTACTGGTTCTCGAAATGAATTTTTATTTTATCTTCTATTGCAGACGCTTTAAAAATGCATATCGATGGCTATATATATATATATATATACAATATTTATATTTGCGAACTTTTTTTATATGACCTAATTTTTTTTTCATAATAATTTTACTATTTTTATGAACTCTGATTTGCAAATTTCTGCATCTGTTAATCTATAATTTCAAAAACTATTTGTCTATTTTTTACAAATATTTTTTTTCGAACACTTGGAAAAAAATTTTTGTTTATAACTACAAAATTTTTATTTAACGCTTTGTTTTCTAATTTTTATTTTTTCTTTCTATTTCAGAATTGAAGAGCAGAAAAAAAGATTGAAGCCATTACACGAATTAGTGATCGGTAAGTCAAGATTTTTTCTTTAATATTAAAATATCAAGAAAAAAAATCAGTTCTAAATAAATATTTAGCTAAATATTTGGTTTAAACAAAACAATTTCTAAAGTTTTTTTCTGTCAAAAATGTTTTCCTTATTGAGGAAATAAGAAAATGTTTAAAACGTATTTAATTAAAATTCTGAAGAGACAATAGTTACTAATTTTTAATGGTAAGAAAAAGCAATAAGAATATTACCTAAATATAAAATTTAACAAAAGAAAATTTGTTAAAAAAAAGGAAGTCCTTTTAATTAAATTACTAGCTCTTGGAGTTTTTTTTTTTTCTTTTTGGGTGTAGAAAAGAAAAAGTGCGTTTAATCAAAGAGCGAACTCGCAATCAAGAAATTGCTGTTCTTTGTACATGTTTTTGACTAGCAATCATGAAATTATAGAGGCGATTCTTTTATAAAAAAGATTATATATAAGAGTGTCGTTATTGGTTATTCTATATGTATAGTGACCGATTTGTAATTTTCTTACATTTACTCTTGTTTCCGTTACTTTATTGACTTGGGTCAGAGAATCAAGCTTCGATGCAATAAAAGCAAAAGCGAATTGTGAACATCAGAAAATAAAGGCGTGTGCTACGGCCAAGATGAGAGAAAGGTGTATTATAGTTATATGGGAGTATCGATGTTTTCTGTTGGATGATGCAGAAACTTATATATATATATAAAGAGAAAGAGAGAGAGAGAGAGAGAGAGAGAGAGAGAGAGAGAGAGAGAGAGAGAGAGAGAGAGAGAGAGAGAGAGAGAGAGAGAGAGAGAGAGAGAGAGAGAGAGAGAGAGAGAGAGAGAGAGAGAGAGAGAGAGAGAGAGAGAGAGAGAGAGAGAGAGAGAGAGAGAGAGAGAGAGAGAGAGAGAGAGAGAGAGAGAGAGAGAGAGAGAGAGAGAGAGAGAGAGAGAGAGAGAGAGAGAGAGAGAGAGAGAGAGAGAGAGAGAGAGAGAGAGAGAGAGAGAGAGAGAGAGAGAGAGAGAGAGAGAGAGAGAGAGAGAGAGAGAGAGAGAGAGAGAGAGAGAGAGAGAGAGAGAGAGAGAGAGAGAGAGAGAGAGAGAGAGAGAGAGAGAGAGAGAGAGAGAGAGGAGAGAGAGAGAGAGAGAGAGAGAGAGAGAGAGAGAGAGAGAGAGAGAGAGAGAGAGAGAGAGAGAGAGAGAGAGAGAGAGAGAGAGAGAGAGAGAGAGAGAGAGAGAGAGAGAGAGAGAGAGAGAGAGAGAGAGAGAGAGAGAGAGAGAGAGAGAGAGAGAGAGAGAGAGAGAGAGAGAGAGAGAGAGAGAGAGAGAGGACCAAGGAGAAATGTTCTGAAACTCTAAACGAAAGATAAAAAAAAAAGATGATGAAGAAGCAGAAGAAAGAGCAAAAAAAGAAGGAAAAAAATGAAGTGATGTAAGGATGCTGCCATCTTCAGCAGATGGATCTATAAAAGTTCTATTTGTTTATCTGACATCTTTAGGAACATATTTTTTTTTTTTGTCACATAGTAGTTGAATGAAAATCTCGAGATTTAATCTAGCGAGATTATAGTAATTGGATATCTTATCGTAATTTTAAAATCTACCTCTCTCTCCCTCTCTTCTATTCTAAAGTACACACTTAACAAGAAGCTATTTGATGATCAATTTCACAAAAAAAAAAAAAATGTAAAATAGATCATAAACTGTTTGATGACTTTAGTTACGAGTTTTTTTTTGTCATCTGATTTTCTTGTGTCGTATACTTTGTCGAGTTGGTCGAGGTTGCCAATTCGTAAATAAAATCAATATCTACTTTATATAATTTTCTAAAAGAATTCAATTACATTTGTTGTAAAATTTCGTGATTTTTAAATTCTTCCAAATTGTAATAGTAAAAAAATGAAGAGAAATTAAAATTAGTTTAGAATAAAAATAGAGAATATTTATTTGTATGTTTTGAATTTATATTTTAAAGTTTCAATTATTTAAGATCCTTTTTTTTCAATTTTTAAACCTTTTTTTTTTTTTTTTGTTCTACTTTCCTTAACATTTTGGATTAATTTTTAACAAATTGCGGTCAGTTTATAAAATTTTTATCAAATTTTCTGCACTAATTTCGACCCTTCTCCAACCCTAGGGGTAACAAAATTCAATAAATAAATTTCATTGCTCTTTTAACCTATGTAATTAAATTTCAGATTTTATTATTTTCAGTTGAAATATAAATTGATTCCTAAAGAATATACAAAATTTTTACCGGCATTAAAATTACCATAGGTGAAATATTATCAGATATATTTTATAAAAAAAAAAAAAAATAGAATATTCCACGTGCTATATTGGTCTTATATGTTAATTTTGGGTTTACTGTGTGACCTTAATTGCGAGTTATATTAAAATAGAGAAAGAGACATGAGAGCCCTCACTCCTCGTGCGAAATGCATACAGTTTTTACCTGTCTGTATAAAATGAATTATAGGACAGTTTCTCATTCTCAGATCTTCATTTATGAACTCTTCCATTACTGCATGGTTTCTTTTTCCTTTAAAGGGATAATAAAAAAAAAGTGCGAGAAATAAAGCGAATGGAAATATAAATTATTTCATACAAAATCTGTTCTAAAAGATTAAGTATAGGAAAATATTTTATCAATAAGAAAATTTAGTTTTTGGCTAGTTTTAAACCAAAGTTGAAAAATTAAGTGGTTTCCATTACAATATTAGGCAGATTAATAACTGAATTTAATAATTAATTTATAAATAATTATATGAATAATTATGTGAATAATTATGTAAATAATTATGTAAATAGTTATGTAAATAGTTATGTAAATAGTTATGTAAATAGTTATGTAAATAATTATGTTAATTATGCAAATAATTATGCAAATTATTATGTAAATATTTATAAAATCTAGTTTGTGTTTCTAATTTGAAAAAATTTCTTCCACCCCAAGGGGGATTGAACCCAAACCACGATGCACGAAAATCAATGACTTTATCCATTGAGCTAGCGACGATTTGAATAGTAAAATGTTCATTTATTTATTATTCATAAGTTTTTGTCATTCATTGCTGTTAATCATTTATTTAAATCCACAGACAATTAATTTTCAATACTATACTAAACTGATTATATACAAGAAAGACATATATTATTCATTTGTCAGAAATACGACAGTTATAATAAAGGTAATTAAAATATTTAATTCAAATAAGATGGACATGAATATAAATGATAGTTGATGAAGAAAAAGCCGATAATCGTGCAGATAAATAAATAAATTAAGTAGTAAATTTTATCAAGAATTTTGAAATGAAAAATAAATTATTAATGATTTATAAGGAATATTGAAAGAAATTAAATAGAAATTAAAAAAAGAGAATCGCCGGAAGATGTTGTGGTCCAAAGAGCATAAAAGTAATTTAATTTATTCTTGCAAAGAATTAAGGACTTAGATTTTGTCTCTCTTGGGATGTATATATATATATATATATATGAAGGAAAGGTGCGATACAAGTCACTTGGTACACGGTGTACACACACACTAACGCCCTCGACCTTCGGGCATAGAAATCTTTAACCCAGATCTACTTGCTCCAGAATCGTTCAAGCTTCCTATCTACCACGTGAAAAGACGTCGCCGGCATGTACAGAGGAGACGAACGAAAGAGATACATCAAGTATCACGCGAAAGAACATATATCTATACACTGCACGGTGAATGTTGTATTTTTGCAAGAGAAAGAGAGAGACAGAGAGAGAGCATTTCACTTGCTCGTTTGCTGCCGCACCAATGTCGAAACATTTGAGCAAAAAGAGAGAGAGAGAGAGAAAACTTCTCTTTTCTTGTTGGGTGCGGCGCGAGAAAGAAGAAACCTGTCCCCCGTAGGCTCAGTGGTTCTCACAAGTGAAGAGGCGTCAATTCGCCAAGTGTTATCTAAATATATACACGCGATGTATTAAAAAAAAAAAAATAAAAAGTCTCTTTGATCTTTTTTTTTCAGGAAAAGAAATTTAAAATGCTTTCATGCACCTTGATGATTATTTAAATCAGCTGCGGATGATAATATCGACCCGTGAGTTGAAACTCTCTATTCAGGACTGAAATAGATTCCAAGGGTCTTAGAATAACCCTAAAATTATACATGTGGGGATATATTAACATATTGTGTCTTTACATAAATTAAATCACTAACAATTAATACCTCACTTCTCAGGATTATAAATATGTGATACAATTTTAATTTATTATCAAAATAATAGAAAACTAAATTTTTAGTTGAAGCAACTAAATTGTGTATAGAGATAACCAAATTTTTTAATACAATTAATCAAAAATTTCACTGAATCAAATTCTTTCCTCAATTGAAAAAATTATTTAAAAAAAAAAAATTAATATGTACTAATTTATATTTTTTATAAATTATAATTTTTATTTAAATTTTGTTTTCTGATTTTAAGAAATGTATTGTTTTTTATTGTTTCAGACTTGAAGAAAATGAAGAAGGATGAGGTGATCGGTAAGTCTGAGATTTTTTTTTTCATAAAATTAAAATAAAATTTTTTTTTAATATTTTGACAAAATTTCGATTTACTGAAACGACAGCTATATATAGGCGAGGTGACAATCTATACACAAAGAGATTCGCGAGCTTGTTAATATGCAAATTTTCTCCAAGCATCTCGAGTCATGCAAATTAAATACTCCTTAACGCAAAGTAGACGAGGTCTACACAAAAAAGAAACTATCCGTTTTTTAAGACAATGCGCATTTATCATATTTTTTGTATATAAAATACAGTTGGGACAAAAAAAATTATATTTTTAAATAATAATTTTGAAAACAAAAACAGTTAAAAATATTTAATTAAGAGAAGAAATATAATTTTTTTATTCCAATATAAAAACTATTTACTTTAAGAAAAATGAAATTTCTTTCTCGTTAACATTCACTTAGTCGCATACTAAAAAAAAAAAAAAAAAAACACACAAACATCTTCAATAATTTAAATTATTCCCACAACTATAAAAAAGGAAACCCAAACGAAAAAGCGCAAAAACATTTGTGAAAATTTAATTAAAAAAAAGCTCACTTCATTTTATATTCAGTCAGAACTATTTTCAGATCCTGGAAGATTGGAATTTTCTTAGATATAATAGAAAGAGAAAGAGAAAAAGAGATGGTTCCAAATCACCCTTTCGAATAACATTATACACATTTTACACTATATGAATGTATTCTTTGACTTAATTAAAAAAAAAAAAAATAGAGAGAGAGAGAAAAGGTGATAATTTCCACGTGAATAAAATATGTGCATGTATATCGTATATATATATATATATATATATATAGAGAGAGTTACACTTTGTAATAGATACCGAAGAAAATAGCATTGCAGCATATTTGGGAAGTTCGCTATATAGAGAAATGTCGGTGAACTGCGGTAAGGCTTCGAGTTAATTGAAATGGAAAATTTAATTAAAACCGGGATATCAAGGATTTGCATTCTGCCACTGTAAGTGGGTTGGATATGCATGTGCACATTTTTCTCTTCTGCAGTCGTTCTCGCCGTTTCTATACTTTTCACAAAAGAATATCCACCACCGAAAACTATTACACACTTCGTTATATATAAAACCATATTTCGAAGAAAATATATTAATAATTTACGAGATAACTTTTCCCATAAAAAAAAAAAATTGGTCCATGGTTTTTTTTTTTTTTTTTTAATTAATTCTTTACAGAACAAATTGTTCCGAAATGTTTTTTTACACTGAAAAAAAATATTTATTCGATTTTAATAATTGATTAGTTTATTGTCAAATAAATATTTACTTGAAACAAATAATTTTTATTTGAATTAAATAAAATATATATGAACCAATAATTTCTGTGTTTGAAACAAATATAATTTAAATGACTCAAAAAAAAAAAATAAAAATTATTATTTAGTAATAATTATTATTTAATTTGATATTTATTAATTTAATTTTTATTCTATACAAATAAATATTTTTTTGACAATGATCATAAGTAATTATTCGAATTAAATAATTTTTTTGTTTTCAGTGTATCAAACAACAAAAATATTTCTCAACTTTATATTATAAATGAAAATTCAGTACAAATATTGATATATTCATTTTCCTTACAAAGAAAATTAATTATCAAGTGACAATGCTCATCACTTGATGTGTGATCGATACACGTGTTTGAAATTCATACCTTGTCGTTGCCCGGTTGTTTAATGTAGCCAGGAGGCCGGGTAGCTATTGAAGTTGCCACCAATGTGATTACAGCAACCTGTAATCAAATTCAAACAGTTCCCTATAAGCATTAATTGATTTCATATGTATATATAGAAAATTATCAAATAGACATTTTCAATTAAAAAAAAAAAATTTAGATACAAAAAAAAATATTTAAAAAATCAATTTTTTTTTAAAATTAACTGCTAAACAATTCTTAATAATAATAATAAAAATAATAGTAATAATAATAAAAATAATAATAATAATAATAATAATAATAAAATTTTATAATAATTATTATTGTATACGAAAGAAAAAAACTTGAGAATTTAATTATCGACAATTTTTACTAAATTGCAGATTTTTGAAAATTTCTTATTACGAACTAATCGAGATAAATATAAAGAGCTGAATATATTAAACGTAGTCGATGAAAGCTGCTGTGGCGCTTTATAGTTTCCAATTTGAATTTGCGCATGATAAGCAAGAAGAATATAAACAGCTTATACTTTCAATCCTCTATTACCTTCTCTAAGCTTTTGCAACTTACACTTCAGATAAGGTCTTTGAAAAACTTAAAACTGCTTTCTTCCAATCACGATAAAAATCTACTCTTTTTGTTGATACGCGACTCGGAAGTATGTAATTATCGAAAATTGTTCATATAATATTTTCTAAATCTTTATAATTAGTTTCTAGTAAATTAATTACTAATTGTCTATAGGTTTTTTTTTTAAAAGTAATAATAAAACAAAAAATATATTTAAAAAATTATTAACAATTACAGTAATTATTGTTATTAATTAATTATATTTAATTATAATTAATAAAATTGTTTAATATTATCAATAATTATATAAATTAGTTAATTAGTTAACAGTATTAGTTAGTAATTTTTAATTTTTTTTGCAACCAATTTTTTTTTTTTTTTGGAGAGAACATTTCTATAGCTTCATAAAATTTAATTATACTTTTATTGTCCATCTAATTTTAATACTATTATGCGAAAAAAAAAACGATTGACCAAAATTTATATAGACTTTGAAAGTAAGAGCACAGAAGAAAAAAGAGGTAGGGAAAAAAAGAACCCTCCGGTCCGTAACTAACTTTCCTCCTTCTTTCAAGCGTCTCTTTTCCTCTGGGCAAATAAAAAATACAAATTACAGTGTGTAAAACAAAATTAAATTAATTATGCGTGCTTATATTTTTTTTCTCAACAAAAAAGAAAGAAAGAAAGTATAATTTCTTTTTTTGTTCTTAAAATCCAGAGACGGAAAATTGAATTATAATAAAATTATATTAAATTATATAATTATATATAAATATAATTTTAATGAAAAATTAATTAAAAATTTCAATAAACAATTTAAAAATAATAAAATTTTAATTTCTAACGTAAATTATAAATATGTAACTAAAATTCACTAAAAAAAAAAAAACAAAAAAACATTTATCTAAACAAGGAAAAGTTATAATTATTTTCAAAATCGATTACTTTTATTATAGAACATAATTTTTAATTTTACTAAAAGAAAAAAGAACAGTTTTGCATAAGCGTTGCGTGTAACAATTTTCCTGATAAATACATAATAATTACAAACCTCAATTTAAAAATTAATGTAAAACAAATTAATTCTAAAATTACGAGAAAAAAAAAATTATAAATTAAATTTTATCAATATTTCCGATTCTCCATTAAAATTTCACTTTTCTCTTAATATGGAAAAAGTTTTTGTAAAACTTTTCAACTTTTCATTCAATGAAGGAAAAAAAATTTGTTTGCCAAGTTTTTGATTTATTTAAAATTAAATTTAATCAGCTTTGAACAAGAAAGATAATATATATATATATATATATATATATATATATATATATATATATATGATAGGAGAGAAAATAACCCAATCAAAAATTTACTAATGGCGCAGTACTGGCGCAGAATTGACAAGTGATGGCGCAGTCTAGGCACCCAGTATTGGCACCAGAGTTGGCGTAACTTTGGGATAATAACATTTTACCAGTATTGGCTGCGAGAGTTGGCACCAGTACTGGTACTGGTTCAGTACTGGCTGAGTACTGGCAGTTTTGTAATTTATTGTATACGAAAAGAAAGCTTTAACTGTAACAGAGATAAGTTTCTAAAACTTTTTGTAAACTAGTATTAATCAAAAAGAAAATCTATTTAAACCAGTACTGGCTCAATATCGGCTCGGTACTGGTTTGCCAGTACTGGAAAAGTGGTACTACACCAGTACTGATACAATGAAAATATCAGTACTGGTTCAGTACAGACTGCCCAGCTTCGGCAGCCAATACTGAACCAGTACTGCGCCAGTTGTTAACTCTGGTATAATACTGAAATTTTTGGTTGGGAATGTTTTTGATTAACAAAACTGTAACATGAGAAACCCTAAAGGTTGAGTTTGTAATCGCCACCGACACCATATCTATGATATCAAAGAAGCGTTGGTTTGTGGAGAGAGAGAGAGAGAGAGAGAGAGAGAGAGAGAGAAAGCCGACCAACAAGGAAATTGAGATTCGCCGGGAATTTGGGAGTACAACCGCGATTTGCATAGCGACCCTTTCCTCCTTCTTCCTTGCATATAGCCATAATCTCGTCGAGGTTTTGCTTTGTGGCAGTGGGCACGTACATTGGATATAATATTAGGCTCTCTCTCTCTCTTTCTCTCTCCTTAGCTATCCGCGTTTCTGAATCGCGCACTGTTATGGAAATTTCGAAGGGATATTCTTTTGGTATAGGATCGCTCCTTGGAAAATCTCCGAAGAAGCGAAGGCACAACCCAAGTATTCCATCGCTCGAAATTCTGTATATATTTCCTTGAATAATGTAAAAGTCACTGTGTGTGTGTGTATATGCTTTCCTTCAACTTCTATTCTCAATGATATTTATTTTTCCTAAAAAGCATCAGTATGTCAAAAAAAAAAATTGCATTCGTTATTATATCTTTAAATTTAAAAAAAAAAATTAACCATTTGCTTCAATTGAATTTTTTTTTAAATTAAATTTTTCTTTCCAAGAATTTTATTTTTTTTCTCGATCATTATTTAACAGAATTCTGCTAAATAAAAATTATACTAAGTGGAAAAGTACTACTAAGTATAATAAAAATCAATTGTTATATTTTTCATTTATATAGAATTTCATTAGATTTAATTTTTATTGAGCTGAATTTCAAATTATTATTTCGCAGAATTTTCATTAAACTTTTTTCTATATTACATACCTATACAGAATTTAGACGAAAAATTCACTTTTAATTATAAATTCAGTAGTATGAAAAATCGTTTATATTGAAATTTTATAAAATAATAATTCGAATAAATGAAAATTCTATGCAATAAAATTCTGCTTAATAAAAATTCATGAAATGGCTAGTATGTTAAATACGAACAAATAAAATTCGGCAAAATAAAAAATTTTATCAAATGAAATTCTAATGAAAATTCTAACAAATTGATTTTTAGAACTTATTCATGCGTTCTTGAAATTATCAAAAGTTTGATAAATAAAAAATTTTGGTGAATTTAAATTTTGGCTAAATAAACATTCTTTTAAGCATTATTTTGGTTAAATATATATTTTGAGAAAAGAAAATTCGGTTAAATAAAGAACAGATTCAATAGAAAATTCTTTTACATGTCAACACTAACAAAAAAAAAAAGATTTGGCTAAATAGGTTTAAAATAAAAGTCAATTAAATGTAAATTTTTTAAAAGTAAAAATTTGGCTAAATATAAATATTTGGTGAAATGGAAAATTTGTAATATTTATTTTGTTACATGAAAATTTGGTTAAATATTTATTTTGAGAAATGAAAATTTTGGTTAAATAAAAATCAGATTAAATATTGATAATTCTGTTGTAGGAAAATTCTGCTAAATATATCAATTCAGTTAAATATTTCGTTAACAAAAATTTAATAACTCGAGATTTTTATTTTAAATAATTGCTTTCTTTATGATGATTTACTTTTTATCCTGATACATGTTTTAATATAATTTTTCACTTTTATCTATTTACAAGCATTAGATGAGTTATTAGGTAAAAATATTTAACAAAAAATTATATATATTTAAAACGATAATTATCCAGGAAGTTAATATACACTTCTTCAGGTGTTTCTTTGTTTTTTTTTTTAAACTATAATTTCCATTACTACTTTATGGTACTCAAATAACCATAATTTATCCAATTATATTGCATCTTTAAAGTTCAAGTTTCACGCAATTTTTAGTGAAAGTAATATATACTTATCGTTTCACTTTCATTAAAAGTTTTCGAATTTTTCTTACTCCACTTTTTCCCACGCGGCTATATACGCTTCTAGTTAATAAATTAATAATTACGAACAGCAATAACACATTTGATAATTATTTTCGCCTTTTATTAGCTATGTCTTTAATTGAATCTTATAAACCTACTTTTCTCTCTCTCTCTCTCTGTTTTTAAAAAAGGAAAATTTTATCTTCCTATATAAAAATGCAACTTGAATAATTATATTTCTCTAATTAGAAGTTATATCGTTTTATCAACTATTTTATAATATATTGGAGAATAAAATTTTATTTTAATTGAGTAAACAATTTTATTTGGTTTGAGTAAAAAAAAAATGAGAAAGGGAAAAAAAAGTTTTGAAGAATCTCACAAGAATTTTGATTTGAAAATTATTTTCCCAGATGAAACGATAGATTTTCGATATATATTTCTTCTTTTTTTATAACAGGATATATAAGAGTGGATTGCTGTGTGAATAATTGACGTTTTGAAACTAAAAAAAAAAAAAAAAAAAGGGAGGGAAAAAAAATCAACCTGAGAGAAGTCAATTCGATATAGGAACAAGATATACCTTCGGCAAAAATAAGGAGAAAAATCTCTTGGGTAGGGCGATTGGGAAATGTAATCAATCTCAGTTTATTTTGTGGTGCCAAGTCCTCTTACGGGAGCCTCAAGTTACATTTCATTTATACTGTTATAGATCACTCTTACTGATTACAAATCGACATTAGTCCAAGGGGCTCTCTTCTCAATTCCTTGGGACGCGATCGACATTATATAGATACTGGACCAATAAATACTTGATAGAGAGTTTCCAACACACACACACTGATAACGTTTATTTCCCTTTACGACGCGTTCGAGTTGCCATTAAATCCAGATGTACAGTCATAATTTCCCCCTTCTTCATATCCCTTTTGTACTTGAACTGATTTTTCTGAACAAATCGACAAGAAAAACCCGCTTATAATAGTTTCGAAAAATGGATATCAATTTTTTAAAATTACAATTTTATACAACTGTCATTATTTAAGGCAAACGTTCGTTTCAGAACAAGGAAAAATAGATCTACTTCTTTATTATTTTTTTCTCATTTTACATATCAAAAAATAATATTTTAACTAAAAAAGATAATTTTTATTTTTAAATTATTATTTATTATTTTTTCATTGTAATTTCTTGACTGTGCCCCAATTATGTAAATTTAATTTAATAACAATAAATAATAATTTAATAAAAAAAAAAAATAATTTAAGAAGAAAAATTTTTCCTTTTAGTTAAAAATCATGATTTTGAATTGTTACAATTTTTATTTTAATTGATTTTTATTGTTTTGAGACAGCTTTGCAAATAAATCAATTGCTTTTAAATATAGTTCGACGTTTATAAAGTGGATTAGGTTGAACAATTGATATTAATTAGCAAACTTAATTAAATTTGCTTCAAGTGAGTAATATAATTAAATGGATACAATCAGTAAAGTGCGTCGATTATGAAAACATAGTGAAACCGCAAATTGATCCCTTCAAATCTTTGGTTATAGGTTCCAAAACAATTACTTTAATTACTTTGTATATAGTTGGGCAGGAAAATGGGGATTCTGTGACACGATCAAATTCACTCTAATCATTGGAAGTTTCCCTTCCCTTTTGTTTCGTGAAACTGTAATTTGTAATTTAATCAAAGGGTTCTATATAAACTTATGTAGTCACACCTCTACAGTTCAATTTGATCTTACATTCAATTACGATAAAAATTAGACATTTTTATTTGATTTCCCTTGATTTAATTTTATATTTAAAATAACAATTTTTAGTTTAAAATAAATTTTTAGCTAAACATGAATTTACAAATATAAACACAATTTTTATTTATAATTTTTTTCATGTTCAGTCGCATTTCCATTCGGTTAAATAAGAAAATTCTATTAAATAAAAATTCAGTTGGATATAAAGTTTGCTTAATGAAATTTTGGTAAAATAAAAATTAAATGAAAATCCGGTTAAATAGAAAATTCTATTAAATTGAAATTCAATTAAATATAAAGTTTGTTAAATAAAATTTCGGTGAAATAGAAAATTTTGTTACATGAAAATTTTGCTAAATAAAAATTTGGCTAAATAGGCACTATATTTTGAAATAAGCGGCAGTTAAATGTAAATTTTTTTAAAATGAAAATTCAGCTAATTATTGGGTTAAATGAAAAATTTGAATGTATGAAAATTTGGTTAAATATATCAATTTTTTTTTTCATTTGAGAAATGAAAATTCGGTTAATTAAAATAATTAACTAATGATTTTTAAAAAATATTGATCCATTTTCTCATATTTCTCAATAGATTCTAAAAAATTACATCCGTGAAGTTCACAACGTTTTTATGATCAACGATTGAGAAGAGAAAATATTTTTCTATGCAAAATTATTTATTTATTTATCCAAAAAAAAATTTTTTGCAACATTTCTTGATCAATAATTAAAAAAAAAAATTGTAAGCAAAAAATTAGTTATTATTTTTTAAGTGAAAAATATTTTTTTCTTTCAATCGTTGATCATAAACCAAAACTTCAAACAATGTAAAAAATTTTTATTTATTCCTAGAAAATGACTTCAAATAATAAAAAATTTAATTTAAAACTCTCACTAAAATTGAAAATAATTTCTAAATTGTGAAATGAAAATAAATCGAAGTTCACGTGTACTTATCGGAAATTTAGCTTTAGCTGCATCAAGAGTTAGAGTGCCTCTTTGCAGATGAAAAGAATATTATCTATATATAAAAAGAACAATTTGAAAGTGTCAATTCAATGGAACATTGAGTTAATTTCTTTGATTACTTTTTTTTCATTACCTGTCATTTTAAAGAAAAGAAGCACTTGGCTTTTTTTTCAATTTCTTTTTTTTTATAACACTATCATGCTAACAAAGTGAAAATCAAAACCACGAATAATCCACGAGAAGTGTGTATATATATATATATATATATATATATATATATATATATATATATATACAATATATCTGCGGTGTTGATGGGAAACGCGAGCCTTTCTTTCGATGGGTTAGGAAAGTCAGAATGTTTCTGATTCCTGACATACTTTCCGTGTTGTGTGCTTGATTCACGAGCGTTGTAACGCTTCATTTTATATTAATATTATTTAAGAGTCTATTGAAAATGCTTTATAATATATAAAAGAAAGTGATCATTATTATATTATTATATCGATATATTGTGATGCTGAAGTTTTGCGGTAAAATAGTGCACGCGAAATACTATTATACTAACCGCAATATTCGAGATGGAAAGTTCACGCAATTTAAGCGAGAGTGATGTTAGATAATTTTTTTCTTAAAAAAAAAAAGAAGAATACAGATATATACATAATTGGTATATCAATTATTTTTAATATTTCAATTTCTGTAAATGGGAGCAAAATCTCTTTTATTCGCGAAATCAATTATATTGAGACTTGAAACAATTTTTCAATAGAAACTATTTATGTGACTATTAAATGAAAATTGTCAGAAGGTGGAAATTATATACACCACAAAATTTTAATACCACAATTTCAAGGATAATTGAAATAATTCATGATTTTTGATGATCGCAATTATAACAAATTACTACCTTTAATTTTTTTGTTTCTTACTTTTTTTTTCTTTTTTTTTTTTGTTTTGAAAAAAATTATTATTATTTTTTATGAAAAAAAATGCATCTTTTGTGTGTTCACTTCCGCTTTTCCATGTTGGCTATAAACTGGGTCTGGCGGATTGGTCACCCAGAAGAGATTCTTGCCCATGATCTTCATTTTACAAATCGGGATATTGCGATCAGAGAGATAGAGAGAGAGAGAGAGAAAAAAAGAGAGAGATAGAGAGAGAGAGATGAGAAGGACTTTCTCCATTGGGCTGAATATATGTTCCTTGCTAGTCGAAAGATGAAGCTTGTTTGCCAATGGCAGAAGAAAATAATCGAAGAAAACGAGGTTTATCTAGTCGAACAAGTTCGATATAGAAAAAGAATGAGAAAATTGCTTCTAGCACAAAGTTACTCGAGTAAAACATATACGTATACTAGAATCATCTATGTTTTCAAAAAAAAAAAAAAAAAAAAAAAGGAGGAGGGAAAATCCCATTTCAAGTAGATCAATCACAATAATTTAATTACTTCCGTTAATGGCATTTTAATTTTACATTAATTATTATTAATTAATTCGGTGCGCGCATTTTATAAATATTTTATTGAAATTAATACTATATTTATTATTTAACTACTATAGGGATTATTATTTAATTTATTACTGAATTCTTATTTATTATTTTCATTAATTATTATTTATTACTATTATTATTACTATTATTGTTACTATTATTATTACTATTATTATTATTTATTATTTTTATTATTATTAAAAAAATTATTATTTGGAATTTATAAAAAAATTCTTATTTATAATGTAAATATTTTTATAAAATAGCTTCATAAAATTTTCCAAAATTGTTTTATTTATTTAAATTTATAGAAATTTTATTAAAAAATTTGATTTTACAAAGTTGCAAAATTTAATTTAATTTTGAAAAATTGTTAACAAAATATAGATAGTACATAAATTTAAATCATTAGATAAAGATTTTAATGGTAATTGTTTTTTTTTCACAAAATTTGATTGTCGGGAACTTTTTCCATACATCCCCACCGCCTTTTTTGAAAAAAACCAGTATTTACTCTTTTCATATTACGGATCGGTATATAACAAAAAAGTTTTTCACCGCATGGACATATAAAATATGCAGGACTCAAAAAAAAAAAAAATAAAAAAAAAACGAGACATGAAATCCGTAAATGGAAAATCGAGCCACTGAAAGCGTGTAAGCATTTAAAACGACAACGTTATATATATATACAATTTAATGGAGTGAAAATTCAAATCCAATAGTGTACTTAAAAACCGAATTTTTTTTTTTTTGGTTTGTTATATATAACAAACTGATGTGTGAATACTATATTATAATAATAATTATTATAATTATTATTGTTATTATTATTATTATTATTATTTTTAATATTATTATTATTTTTTTTGTAAGAAACTCACAGAGTGGAGTAGCATATCTTCCGCCTTAATGCATGAACGATTCTCACTTGTGATACGTTTAACAGGCACAGAAGACGTATGACCTCGGTACCTCTCGCGATCTTGTTGAGAAACAGAAGATTGTATATATTGAGAGTGAGTGAGAGAGCGAAAGAGAGATATGTGCACTTCTAAGTTTCCTTGCGAATATATAGAAGGAAGTCCTCTTTACGCGAAGAGAGTCTTTGTTGTATACGCACTGGGGAGAGAAACAGTATACACTGTTTCGCCCTGACGCGATCCACTTGACTTAACTCTCAAAGCTCCAGTTATCCCCACACTCTATGAAGAGTCTGTTCAATGAGAGAATGAGTGAGTGAGAGAGAGACAGAGAGAATCCCCTCAAATGTCTCCGATCTTTTGGAGAATGTATTTGTTTTATATATGTATGCACTTTGCAACGTGTGTTGTTGTTATTATTGTTGCACTCTGTGCAAAATATATATACAACAATATTGTCGGGTCCAAAAAGCCACTCTCTCCCCCTCTTCAGAAAACAATGCTTTCGCTTATAAACCGTCACAGGATCAGAGAAAGTTTTTCCTCTATTGCTTCCTTATTGAGGATACTTTGAGGTTTTTTTTTTTAAAAAAAAACTATTTTTAAACAATATTTACCGATTGTTTTGGAGTATAAAGAATCGATATGAGTTATGGTAGAAATTTTAAATGTTTCATAATTGTAGGAGAGGTATTATTTTTTTTTCTTATTAGAATCAATGGAAAATTGCTCGATAAAAAAAACAGTTCAATTTAGCTGATTTATCTTTGTTTTTCTTTTTGCTGTTTAGGTGGAAATTTCCTGATTTATTTTAAGGGCCATTCATTAATTACGTAAGGACGATTTTGGCAAATTTTGACCCCCCCCCGTACACACGCATGTAAGGATACATAAGATTTTTCAGACCCCCCCCCCTCCTCCTTCTTACGTAAGTTTTTAACAATATTAATGTAATTAAAATTTTAATTTAAAATTTTCTATTAAACCGTTATTTTAGTCGAATTTTTATTTATCTATATGTTTAACCAAATTGAAATTTAACAAAATTTCCATATAACAAAATTTTACATTTAATAATATAGTTAATTATTTAAATAATTATTTTATTTTACTTATTTTTATGTAACATAATTTTTTATTTAACGGAATTTTAATTGAGACAAATATTTATTAAACCGAATTTTCATTTACTAAAATATTTCATTCGACGAATTTAACATTATTTTTGCATTAAACTGTATTTTTTATTTAGCCGAACTTTTATTTACCAAATTTCATATTTAACCGAATTGAAATTTAACAAAGTTTTGCAACATACTTTTCTATTAAGCTAAAATTTAATTTTGTCTCACTATTTATTTATCTCACCTTATCTTCAATAAGGATTCTATTAAATTAAAATTCAGCTTAATAAGAATTAATATTTAACTTGTTTTGGGCTTAATAAAAAATTCGGCTGACTTTTCGTTAAATGAGAATTTAGTAAAATGAAACTTCAAATTTTTTTTAATACAGAAAAATCGTTAATTTTCACGCGAAATTTTAATTTTCATCTTATCTAATTAAAAAAAAAAGAGTCAATAATATTTAAATTGGAGAAATTTTTTTTTTTTTTCTTCAAAAGCAGTTTTACTAAACGTGCAATTGTGATGGTTTTCAATTAAACTTGGGTTCGATTATAAAATTTCTGTAAATTTTCCTTTTGATTATGAATTTCCTCTCATCTATCTTGAGTTAATTAGCTGGACTCAGTTTGTCAAAGAGTGACAAGAGGAAGATAAATAACCGAAATGGACTATCATACGAAATGGGCAATGTTGTCTCTCAATATTGACGTCACTGATCCATTTGCGCATGCGTCAATTTAAAAAAAAAAATTTAAACATATATATATTAATTTAGTTTAAAAAAAAATTTACTACTTTTTTTTCTTACAATAAAAATTGTAATTTCTGATAAATAACTTTCTAATAATTGTCTTATTATCCTGTATAATATAATTGAAAAATAAACAAGAGGAAAAAATTTATACTTTATTTCTGGTTGTTAAAAATAATATATAAGTATATGTTTCAAAAAAAGATTAGTGTATAAATATTGTTCTTAATATTTAAACTAAATATAATGGTAAAATAATACAACTAAATAGTAAATTATATGCAATTATATATGAAAAAAATTATACTTATATAAATTTCTCGAGGTAAATATTTCAATTATTTTTTATTAAAAATTATTCTATATATATATATATATATTAAATTTTATAATATTTAAAATAATTGTCCTTTTGACTTAATCTTCTGGCGCATTGTCCTTTTGTTGAAATCAAATATTCTCTCTGACACGGGACAGTATAGAAACGTTCTCTCCATATACAAACATTCAATCAAGAGAACTGATGTTTACTACCATTTACAACTGTGTTTAGCTTGGACTTTGAACTCAAATATTTGCATCATATATACGGTAACAGAGGCAAAAACAAATTAGAACATATATATATATATATATATATTTTTTTTTAATTTTAATAAAGTATAAATTTTCCAAATTCTCCGAAAAACAAAGGAATTTGAGAAATTCAATGTATAAAAATTTATACTCAAGTTTTTTATGTTTTAACAATTATTTCTATTATTAGCTTTCTTAAAATGTGAAATATTTAAAGAATTTTTCACTAAATTAAAGTATAAAGAAAACGCGTGCCAATAATTTCTCAAGGTACTTTAATTTCTAATTTATAGTATATAATTTTCATTTGTTACTTGAGTACAATTGAATTCTTGATTTGAAACTATGCATTGCATAGAGAAAGATCAGAACAATTGTTTCTGCATACCTTGGAAAGAAATTGCTTTATCGAAATGCAGTAATAAAAGACATAAAAGACACCTCTTTCTATATAGTGCTATGTGAATTTAAAAGCTATGTATGTGTGTATAAGAGTGAGAAAAGCATGCACATAGTTGAACGAGAAAGTGACAAAGCCATCAGCGTGGAAAGAGAGAGAGAGAGAGAGAAATAAAGGAAGAGAAAGAAAAAGGAGGAAAAATGCGGTTAAAGTCCCAAAAAAAATTAATCCAATTTGAAAAAAATGACATTTTTTTATATTTTGTATTAATATATAAAAAAAACAGTATTAACAACAAAAAGACAAAAAAAACATTCATTTTTGAATTTGAGGCGGTTAAAAAAAAATTAAAAAACCATTCAAGAAAAGTATGAGTTTTAGAATTTTTTTTTTTTGGGATTTAAAAAGGGATTTTATAGACTTGGTGGTAATCACAAGGTTTCTCGTATAGAACTCAATTGGTTGTTCGAAAAGCAATTTTCAAATAACGACCATAATCTTGTATGTATGTAATCACACACTATTTCTTAAAAGCGAATAATTTTCCCAGGAACCTACAATTTAAGATCATGCAATTTTCTATATATATAACATTGTTTTCAATATTTTAGAAGAAAAAAAAATATTTTTGTCTATATATATATATTTTTTTTTATTTAAATCAAAGAAATTTAAATTTTGCGCTGAATTTCTAGCAATTAGAAGGCAATTCAGAAAAATTGAATAATTATACGAATTTTTAATTGAATAATGCGGAAATGATGAAAAATCTCATTTTCTAATTTTCTACTCAATTTAAAGACATTAATAAATGTGCGCCTTTCTTTCTTTTCACTATATATATATGAACGTCTCTTTGACTATATGACGATATCGGTATATAAATCTTCGAATTTATTACACAAACTGCAACCAATAATTAACTGGGTGTTACCCAGAAGAAGCAAATCGTGACGGAAGATATAATTTATTTGTCTGCATTTTAGAAAATTGTGTCAATCCCACGGATGTTAGCGAATATTATTTATTTTTCAAATTTTTATAAAATATTGCCATTCTTATTTTTTATGTTTATTCATTGAATTTGTCTCTTAAAATTTATTTCGCAGAATATTGGTGTAAAATTTTTTTTTTTTTATTTTTATTCGTTCATATTTAATTTGAATATAAAAATTTATTTATTTTTTATTGTGTGTCAAAATTTATATACAGAAATTAATAATTGTTGAGAATTTCAAAAACTTTCTTATTACACTTTCACTAATTTGCTATATATTGTCACGTCACCGTAACTTTTACATTCATCCTTTTAATCAATACCGAGTTATATGTCTCTGCGACAAGCACACGTGTGCTTTTCTCTTTCCGCCCCTTTTTTTTCGTGTAACTAAACATCTTTCTTTTATATATAAAAGACCCCTGCGTTTAGTATCCTTCTACGACAATCTACTGTATTTCTATTTCTGTATACATACAAATAGAAGCGAGAAATCTTTTATGATACCAGAAGAGCTCACACCCCCACAAAACAAAATGATCCCTTTCTAATTTTCCCTGTGCTAAAATCAAACGATGTAATAAATGCGCTCTTTCCAATTATCCTATGTGACGAACCCCTGTGGTATCACCACATTAGAAGAGTACAGCTGCAAATAATCATAGTCATACTTTCGTATCCTGAAGAAGCTGGTTCACACCCCCCTTTTTACGTTCAACTGAGAGAGAAGGACTGAACTTTGACTTCCAAAATTAGGGTGAAAATATATAGTAGGACAATAAAATTTTATCTATTCTCTTACGAAAACTCAGTATAAAAGGGCTACATTTTCATGGAGAGATCAGTTCTGGGATCCTCTTTATACGTATAACATCAACCAGTTCTGGGATCCTCTTCATACGTATAACATCAACTAGTTCTCAAATTATCTTCATACGTATCAATCTCATTCTTGGTGCCAGTCGACGTCTTATAGTACAAGTGCATAATTCTCTTATATCAAAGTGAAAATCAAGCATCAATACCCTCTACATAAAACGAGGATCATCACTACTTATTGCATTGGGCAATTATCTATTTATTTGGAAGAGACTCATTATTCGGACATTCGTCACGCCTAATAGAACTCCGGACCTGCGGTTATACCTGGGCCCGTCAACCTTCCGGACGTCATAACTCACGCTGGTACCAGCTCTTTTTCCTGTGTCAACAAAGGACACAGCAGTGGTCCTTTTCTTTATTGAAACTTATCTACTACTGAATTTTAAGGTAAGTGTCTTATATTTTTACTCCTAACTTTCTAAACTTGTCGTATA